ACACAACCGCTGAAGACAAAGCGGGTGAATAAGCAAAAGTGGTGAAGAAAGCTGATGGTGCCCGGCTATCAAAGGATATAGCATCTGGGGTCTTAAAACTTGAAGGTAAACAAGCAGCTATCTAGATCAGAAGCAACGAAGTCCACCTGGAAGAACACATCAGCCTGTGGGATCACGAGGTGCCGAAAGGATCAGTTATCTGGCGTCAAAGTACAAAAAATCATATCATTGTGTGCTCACCTCCATGACCAGATCGCTTAAGACAAACGGGTGCATAAGAAAATGTGGTGAAGAAAGCTGATGGTGTCCAGCTATCAAAAGGTATAGCATCTGGGGTCTTAAAAGGCTTGAAGCAGTATAGTGGAGTGTTAAAGAGCAGAGATTCGTATCAGTCTTCCACAATTTATAGCCTGGCTCTACCACTTTTAGCCCCTTAACCACTCTATATTTACTCATGTATAAAATAGGAATACAGTAGTACCAACCTCAGAGATTATGGTGAAAAGTGAGGATGACATCTGATATGTTATCTGGCACAAAGCAAACACAATCTGACGTTGAATTCCCACCCCTCACTCCATCTCCTCCTGCTCCCTGTTTACTCTGAGTCAGTCACTCTGATCTACTTGCTATTCCTTGAACAAAGCAAGGCACGCTCTTCTTAGGACTGCTGTATTTATTATTCTCTTTGATGAGAATGTTCTTCTCAACCTAACTGTTTACTCTCAGTCTTACCTCTTTCAAGTTTGTCTTCAAGGCCAGCTGCTAGGCTGAGTCCTTCTCTCACGGTTCCACTTAAAATTGTCCATCGACAACCTTCCCCAGGATTCACTCTTCCTCCTCCAAGCTTTACTGATCCCCAGAGCACTGTTTAATCTTCTCATATCGTTCATCATCTGCCCTTCTCCCACCTCACCCCTCATGAGACTATCAATCCTGTGAGGATAAGCAGCTGTGTGAAGTCACTTCACAGCTATATCCTCAGAACTAGTACATTGTGTGGGAAACACACACATACAAATTATGTAAATATTTATGGCTAGGAGGGCGAACAACAGAAACATGGGCGAAGGGAGAGAGCGGATGGTGTAAAATATGAAAATAAACATAATTTACAAATTATCAAGCATTCACAAGGGTGGGAAGGGAGGGGCAAAAACAGGACTTGATACCAAGGTCCCAAGTAGAAAGAAAATGTTTTTGAAATGGTGATGGCAACACATGTACAGAATATGTACAAATTGTTATAAGAGCTGTAAGAGCCCCCAATAAAATGATTAAAATATATATATGGCTGCTTTTATTATCACCATTGTAATCTGTTTACTAGTTATTTTTCTAGTTTTCTTTTTGATGTGTTTTCATACATTAATATCTATTAACACATATTGCACTCTGTACTTGTTCTCTTTTTATACCAGTGACTGAACAAAGAATGAAATCAGATCATTATCATCAAGCACTTTCTTTGTTCTGTTATTTCTATGCGGTTATGTGAATAATGTATCGCATCCAACATTAAATTCATTAAATGAACTGAGAAATTAACATGCTATTGCTACATATACAAACATTTGAGGAAAAGAGGAGATATAAGGCAAGTAAATATATACAGGCCTCTGTTGCCTATGCAGAATTACGAGGCTGAAAACAGAGATGGTTGTGAAACTTACTTTTATCTAAAGACTCTTTAAATGTTTTGTCCATATATGCCTATTGTTCTTAAATTTTTCATTTAAAAACAGAATTCTAATTCCACTGACAAGCATACATTTCATTTAGTTAGTAGAAAGATAAAATTCGTTTCTTTACTATCAAATACACTAGATTTAAGCTGGCTAACCAACTAAGAAGTATGTGAATGACAAATACCCATATATGAAAGGCCAAAAATGGATTAATCACACGCAACTGTCAATATTTTACAAAGGTTCAACTTTATGGTCACAGGCAAAGCAAAAGAGAAAATACAAAGAATTTTCTACTTTCAACACTTTGAAAAGAGGGAGCTAGAAACTTGGAACTCTAATGTTCAAATATTTAACAAGAACCTTTCAAGCATTTTCAGTAATACCAAAGTGGCTGACTTATGATATATTTCTAATATACTAGAAAAGCTTATTATTTTAAAGGATCTAAGTGACAACTTGGGAAGATCATTATAACCGATGTTTTGAACATGTATTTTCATTTAAAGATCTATTATTAAACGGGAATTTATTGAGTGCTAACTATATCTTCTAATACATTTTCACTAAACCCCTATAAAGTGGATGTTATTTTTACCCATTTCACAAATCAGAAATCCTTTAAAAGATAAAAAATTCATCCAAGACCCTAGAGCTAGTACCTAGCTAAGCCAGGGCCAGAAGCCACAGCTGCACATTGACTCAGTAGGTGTCTAAGCATTACGTTTACTTGGCAAATTGCTATCTGCCTGGCTAGTCTTATTAGAGTGCTATAGTCTAGTAATCAGGGCTTTTCAAATGTGGTAAATTCACTCAAAATAGACATAATCTCATATCCTGTAACAGAGACAACCAAATGTGTCATGCTAGATATTATGAAAGTTGAGCATTTCAACTTATAATTTTTTTAAAGGATGTAGTGACTCAAAGGATGACTCGTTTATTTACTCTAAAACTACTACAATAAAAAGGCATTTTATGACTCTAGAAAATTTACTCTAGAATTCTTAAATTAATTAAATAATTTAAATAAATTAAAATTTACTTACTGTAGAATTTTACTAAATTAAAAGGGAAAATAAGTTCAAGCT